AAATAATTTCCGAGGGACATCAAGACAGATAGCGTAATAATGCTAATGGATTTTATATCTGTTTTTTTTTTTTACAACTCAATTGTACGCCGCGGTCGAAGCGATTAGCCGCGTGTTTAGTGTATACTTTGAATGACTCAACATGTATATAGATTTCCGTCGATTCCATTGGACTTGACGATCGTTTCGCTACACAAGACGCGTATATATATACGATACTTTATACTCTTCAAAGGAACCGGAGCGAGATACCCCTTTTTCCCTTCAAAAAGGTATGACGAAGCGTGCGATTTTATAATCATCCTCGAAAGAGGGCAGTATCATTCGTCGCAGCATCCAGCCAATGCGAGGGGGTAAAATGTGCGTACACGCGTAGCCGACGGCGTGGCTTCACACCTGATTAACCCCGAGAGCCTCGCCCTTTCGCGCACGCATTGTACATGGATGTAAGGGAGATAAAGGATTGCGAATTAAAAAAAAGCAGGCCACCCGGCACCGGTTAATATAGCGCATGCGCGAGCAATGTTCACGGAAGCGTGTACAGATGAAATAGAAAAAAAGAAAAAATGTGTGTATTATATGCATATACACATGTAGGTATACCTAAGAACGAGAATCGCAGAGAGAAGGTGATACGCCGCGCTCCAGTACTGTAATATCAAGATGGCGGCGTCGTCTAATTACGTGTACAGGATATACCTACCTGCCTACATGTAATGTATCCAATTACACGTATACGATATACAGAAGTAAAAACAGGCAACGCGAGTGAAAGAGGGAGAAAGTCCGGGAACGGCGTTTAATGTCTTCCTCATGACGACGAGATGCCGGGGAAAATCACCTTATCCGAGCCAACATCGGCATCCAAATTTAACTGATATTCCGTTTAATTTTCGCTTGCATCATTCGAGCTGACGGCGCGGAAAAGTAAAAGCTCGTAAAATCAAGCCGGAATATGGGTATGCGCCTTATTTGCACAAAACGCATTAAACACGAGTACGCGTATATATATATATGTTTATACTCGTCCACCATCACCATCAGGACGCGCACATCGGGTCTCGCTCGCTCGGATGAGAAGAAAAAAAAGGGAGGGTCCAACGCGTACACATACGCATCAGCAGCCCTTAGGTTTGGGGTCCCCGCGAGCGTGCACTAATGAGGGGCGGGCAGAAAGAGAGAGACCCCGAAAAACACACCTGCCTCGCTTTACTCCCATAATACACATCCACACGGCGCTTTCGTTTTCCCGTCGGCTTTTATTTATGTGTATACCCATATACGCGCATTCGATGTCTAAGCGGTTGGCTCGCCTCTATATACTTCTATATGAGGCTTACGAGTATTGGCCAGCTACCATCCCTCCTCTCTTTTAACTTTGTTATTATTACATTAGGATGTATATATAACATGGCGGCTATGGATACGGGATGTGTGTGTGTGTAGCGGAGGCACCGCGTGTAATGGATAGTTGATGGCCGAGCGTTGAATTAAACGTGAAAAAGGAACCGGGGGATCTTTTGTTCCATCCCCGTTGCATCGTAATTGATGGGCGAGTTACCTTTTTTTTTTTTTTTCTCATGTGCATTGAATTAATTTCAATTAATGTAACGGACCGTGTACATGTAAATTTTTCTCACCACTCAACAGGGGTTTCCTTTTTTTAACGAAAAGTCTCCGTTATTTAAAATAGATCCATTAAAAAATTGCAAGCGCGACTATTGTTCGCTCACCTATATATACCCAGTGGCATGATCCAAGCGCATAAACGTGACGTTTTTTCGGTCCCTCCCTCGTGCCGAATCCACTGCCGTGTTTTCTCGCTTTTTTTGTGCTATCACTGCCGAGCATGGGCATATTACTAGGAAATGGCTGGCTCAGCTTTGGCTTAATGGATCTCGGACGGCAATAAAATCGGCTGCCTTTGCGCTCTCGACACTCGGTTTTATGTCGCTACATACAACCGAGGGCTTGTTTTTTTACCCCCTCTCTAAAAAGTAATAACGCGTTATCATGATTACAACTGCGAGGGAAAAAAAAGAGACGTGCTTTGTTTCGTCGAATTATGTATACGTGTCGCGTGCTGTGGGCTTGTAAGCGTTTATCGCCAGATGAGTTTTGGCGTTGAATTTGACACTCGTCCTAGTTTACTTTTGAAGCACCAATCGGAAACATCATGGTAGTGAGAGAGAAAATAAAATTAAAAAATCCAACGCGATTTAATTGAAAAACAAAGTATAAATAACATACCGCAGCTGTGTTAGTCGGGCACTAGCGACAAAGAACATTCCGAGCCGCCCCCCTCGTCACCCCATTATAACAATTATTCATCGTCTTATAGAAAAAAAAAAAAAAAAAGAAACAGTAGGTGTATATAGTACAGGACTCGGTTTCCATTTCCATGCAACAGCAGCAACCGCCATCGCTACACACTATACGCGGTAAGCCATCCGCACTGTAGTAGCGGCGGCGCGTTTTGATCTCTCGCGCGAGTATACCGCGGCAACGAGGTGAGTAGCGGCATGGGGGGGGGGGGGAGCGAAAGGTAATCGGCGCTTATCAGTTTCCCACAGTCCGCCGCCGGTAATTGTCTGAATCACGTCCGAACAGCGTTCATCGATTAACGATACAAATTATCGGCAGGCAGTTCTCGCTTCGTATACAGGTATTATTGTGTGTGCGTGAGTGTTTTACGGCTCTCGGTTGAGAAATGTAGCGTCCTTCGAACGACTGCTCGGATCAGTTATTATGCACGCCCGTTGTCTCCAAGAGTATAATATACGGATTTGTGTATAATTACATAAACTTTCGTTACATTGAGCTGATGTGTAGCGCTGAAATATGTAAATCACCATTTTCCGTAGACCTCGTTTTGTCACATTTGGAAGTATATAATATACAATACATAAAAAAAAAAATCGGTATGAGCATACAAACGATGAACCGTCATCCCTTCCCTAACTTGACTACCCCGCACGTATGGTTAAACCAATCAAAGTGTAGCCCTGTAAGGCTGTGTTGTATATGGTAATCCAATCAGCGCAAAAGGCCCACGCTCTCGCAACTCGTTCCTTCGATCCTCTCATTTCTCTGTCGTGGGCATTTAGCTTACGGCCGATGGACATCGGAGTCAAGCTAGGACATCAAAAATCGCCGCCAGTTATGATATGTATATGATAATGCGCATGGGTATACCGACCACAGTCGGATGGCAAATGTAGCACGGGTGTGCCGAAACAAAGGAAAAGAAAGAGAGGGAACAGGAAGAGCACGGTCCGATTAGCAATCGCCATGGAAACACGAGCGCAGTGCCAGGAGAGAGAGAGAGAGAGTTGATGCGATCAGTTCACGCACGAGAGGAAAGGGGGGCTTCGACGAGGAGACGAGAGATAGATATGTACCGCTTATACATAATGCGGAGGACGAGAAAGACGCGTTTTATGCCACATATAGTATACTGCAAAAGGGAGAAAAAGAGAAAAGTTGTCTCCGGTAGGGATGAATCCGAGGGGGTGGGGAGTCAGCCGCGGGCGTGCATCAGAATTTAGAGTGGGACCGGAGAGAAGGGTATAGGGTAACAGCAGTTCGGGCTCTCTTTCTCTCTGCCATGGCTGTGTTATCATGAGAAACAAGCTTCCACTCTGATTTTTTAATCCGGTCCCCGCCACCGCGTCCTCTCTTCCCTCCCCACCCGCTTCTCGTCGGCTGAATTTGAAAATAACTGCAGAACGCCATTTGCGAGGAGCAAACAGACGGAGAGCAGGGAATTAAGCTGCCCTCCATACCCTACCGTAGTGTCGGTCTCTCCTCTGCTTTTTCAACTCCTCTCTCTGCTACTCCTCTTTTTTCTCCTCCCGCTGCCTCCTCTCTTTTGTCTTTTCGTTCTCTTTGCGCGTATATACGCTACGCGAAATCGCTTTGGAGGATGGAAATTATCATCCTTTTGGTTTTGCCCCTTCCAATCATGAATTTTTCGCTCCGCTCGTACAATCGTCAATTATTTACGTATACACGACCCCCGTCGGAGACCTCGTGAAAAATGAAACCCGCAAAGCGTGCGCTTCCGTCCGATCATTTATTTACAAAACCTGTAAATTAAAAAAAAACATCTCATACGACGATATTTTCAGTCAAATCGAAAATTTATGTGTATACATTTTCAAACGATGTCACTCCACTCGGTGTGAATAATCCACCCGAATCCTTGATCTGCTGGTGTATCATTATGTATATGCACACATGGGGCGGGGCACTTCGGGACGTAGTAGGTGACAGTTTTATTAATTTTCCCGTATCTCGACGGCTGTCTGCGACGTTGGCCCTGAGTCCGCGACCCTTTTTTTTTTTTTTGTTTCTCCTAAGGCAGACACAGCACCGCGAAATCGTATGAGCTGTCAAGTATGAAAATGATCACGAAAGGAAAAAATGTTTGTGCTCGTATTGTTTTTAAAAACAACAACATCGTGCGATTTACAATTAAAAAAAAAAAAAAACGTAAAAGAGAGAGGGGGTGGGGGGTGGACAAAAAAAAGGGGGAAAAATTTAATTCCGATCCCGTCGATTCAGCAGTTGTACCAAAGTTTAATCTTTGATAAGGGTTAGTCCCCCGGTAATGGGATATATACTCCTCCCTTTAGTCTACCTGTCTCCTCGAGATCGTCGTCGTCGTCGTGCACACGCGCGGCGAAAGGGGAGATAGCTTAAACCGTTAGATAAGAGATCTAGCTCGCTCGGGGGGACCAAGGCGAGAGAGAGGCTTCTTCTATATCCAGCCGGAGCCCGAGTTTTATACGCCGGAGGCGTAACGAGCCGCGCGATTGGATAACTTTTCCGCCGAGGGAGCTTTCCTCGGCCGCTCTCTCCTCCCACCGGGCTCCCCTGGACCTTCCTCCAAGCGCGCGTTGCACTAGATTGCCTTTAGAATAAATAATGACAAACATAATGACTCGTAACTGGCTAAACGTCGACAATTTGTCGTGTTTTTTTTTTTTTGTTTGCAGCTACGGTATGGACCTTAACGGGGCGAGGCGGAAAAACGCGACGCGCGAGACGACGAGCACGTTGAAGGCCTGGCTGAACGAGCACAAGAAAAACCCGTACCCGACCAAGGGCGAGAAGATCATGCTGGCGATAATAACGAAGATGACGCTGACGCAGGTCTCGACGTGGTTCGCCAACGCGAGGAGGCGCCTCAAGAAGGAGAACAAGATGACGTGGGAGCCGAGGAACAGGGTCGAGGATGAGGACAACAACAACGAGGACGACGACAGCGGGAGGAAGAGCGTCGAGAAGGACAGGCTCGGTGAGTTGCGTTGAGTTTTATACATATATTTTTTTTTTTTTTATAAAGCAAAGAAAGATTTGAAAATATTCAATTGAAATTTCATCTCTTTTTTGAGAAAAAGTTCAGAAAATTTCAACGAAATTGTAATCAATCCATAATATAAAAGACGTTTTCATCACGTATGGCTCATTAATAAATGTATAACAACCAAATTTTGATAAGGATGTTAAATAAATAATGAGCTTGATTTACCATCAACTGCTATTTAATTTAATCGCAGCTCCATTTGGCCGTACAAGAAGTACAATATTCACGATTTCAAATGTGAAGGAGCATGATTGTTAGACACTATAAAAAATGTGTTTGTTATAACTATAGAGCTGCTTAAATAGTTGATGGGCCATTGATTTGGTTGTATTCCTAAAACTTTGACCAAAAATCTGACATGTTAACACATCTTGGATTACATGCTTCCGACGACTTGGTGTACAACAAATATAGCCTCATGACAAGCATCCGTTTGTTCTCTCGTTGCAGACTCAAAAGACTCGGGTACGGGCTCGAGCGAGGACGGCGAGCGAGGCGGGTCCGCCAGCCACAGGCTCGATCTACTCCACGGAAGCGGCGGCCCGGGATCGGGCCCCGGCCGAACCGAGAGCGAGTGGAGCGAGTCCCGCGCGGACAGCGGGCCCGACAGTCCCGAGTGCCTCTACGACCAACGCGAGCCACCACCGAGGCACCTCCACCACCCGCTCCACCTGCAGCACCACCCGGCCTTCCTCACCGGCTCGTCGCCACACGGCCGCTTGACACGCCAGCCACCGTCGTCGCCCGACCACCACCAGCACCTCCACCACGCCCACCACCACCACCAGTCGATACCCCCGAGCACGAGCACCTCCGGGACGACGGGCACCGGCACGACCAAGCCCCGCATCTGGTCCCTCGCTGACATGGCCAGCAAAGACGCCGACCACCCCCACCAACAACCCAGTCCGAGTCCCCAGCAACAACTCCTCGGCTCGCCTTACGCTTCCTCCGGCGGCGGTGGGACCAACCCCGGCGGCGGCAAGATCGTCAGTCCCCTGGCCAGCCGGCTACCACCCCACCACCCCCTCCACCCGGCCATGCACCCGGGCAGCCAGTTTGTGAGGCACCACCCGGACTTTTACCGGAACTTTTACGGCGGGCCCCACCTCGGCTCGGGCGACATGTCCCTGCTCGAGACGTACCAGAGGACCCTGGGCGGCCTCGGTGGAGTGATGCCACCGACCAGCGTGGCCCCGGGCCTACTCGCCTCCTCGTCGGGCGTCCAGGCCAGTCTCAAGGGCTTCTCGATCAACGGTGCCGGGACCCCGGGTGGCTCGGTCCTTCTGACTACGGCCTCGTCCGGGGTGTCGCCCTCGTCCTCGTCGACCGGCTCGTCCAACGGCTCGGACCAGTCGCCCGGCCTCGCGTCCACGGAGCTCAAGTCGCCCGGGCGCGTCTGATCGTAAAGCCGTTCCCCCTCGGCGGCTCCAGTGTGGCTGACAATAATGGTAATTTATATAAATAGCTGGAGGCTCTCGTTTAGCAATCGACGTAACAAACACTTGTAAATTACTGTACAGAAGTTATACATATTATATTATACGTCGGTATGACGCGTCGTATTGTCATCGAGGATATATATATATATTACGTATAGGTTGTTTTTTGTGTTTTGTTGTGGTTCGCACATTCGAAATATCGCGACCGACGACTTTTTATTATAAATACAAATAAATTCATATATTATATATTACATTAAAAGAAAGAAAAAAAAAAAAAACAACAAAAACAAAGCAAAACACACGTATAAATAACTGTATATTCATTATCCACATTACTCTCTGTCTCTCGCGTTCCCGGCTGGGACTCGGTTCGTCGTGGATTTTTTTTTTTTTTTTTTTCCCTCCCCCGTTTTTTTTTCCACACTCGTCAAGCTCTTTCGTTCGGGTCGATCTCTGGAAAAAACGTTAACGCTCCTCCTCTTCGTTAGTTGAATTATTCGCGCTCGCGCGGCAGTTGGGAATTTGCCGGGTCTTTGGAAATTATATTTTTTTCCCCTCAAAGAAGCCACAACTTCGAATCAACGCTAACTTGTATATAATTATTATTATTATTATTGTTGTTGATATTATCGTTTGAAAGATTAACGTTCCATTAGGGTTTTCAGTATTAACGACGAGGCGTGCAAATTCCCAATTGGCCGGAGGGCGCGGTTACGTAGTTGTGAATGGCACGAGCGACGTGCCATGCAATATTATGTATTTTCCTTGATCGATTCTAAATTGAAAAAAAAAAAAAAAGAGAGAGAGACAAAAACTCTCCTTGAAGTCCTCAGCGTTTGAAGAGATTCAAGGAGAGAAGGGAATTAAAAAAAGTAATAATAATGATAAAATAAAGTTAATGAATAAAGTGAGAAAGACAAGCATGGATCAACGGTAATCGTGTATGTACCGTTGATGGTGCTCTGACATGATAAATGAACGAACGAAGACACATAAAAGTGACGACGATGATGGGAAAAAAATTTGATGAGTATCCATGACTCCAATTTTCGGATGGAACGAAAACGAAAAAAAAAAAAAAAAAAAAAAAAAGAAAAAATGAGAAAAACAATAATTCACGATACATATTGCGATACATAGGAAAAAAAACAAAAAACAAAAAAGAAAACCCATATAAATACTATGCAAATACAAATATATTATAAATATTATATACATGATTGATTATTGATATTAATTTATGCGTTTGTAAATAGTAGTCAAAAGAATGAGTTAATAAATAATTGAGGAGAGGAAGAAAAAAAAAAGAAAATGTCGATGACGTCGAGAGTGGCACTGGTGGAAGAGTCGAGTGTCCGGCTCGTGCTCCCGGACACGCGGTGTGTGTGTGTGTGTGTGTGTGTATGTATCGTACGTAGAGTAGGCACATTATGAATGATTATAAATGATAATTATTATTATTATTATGATACCCGATGACGATGATGAAGCTGATTGACGATAAAAATAAATAAAAGAAATTTCATAACCCATAGTATCGACGATCCGGGCGGTGATTATTACAATGACGACGTCGACGACCCCATCATCCAATCACACTTTGTTACCATCGATTTCCAAATTACAAAAAAAAAAAAAAATAAATAAATAAATAACATAGACTATTGTTAAAAAATCCACAAGTTTCAAGGCACTTTGCAAGCAATAGCCAGCCGAGACTCCGGCCTCCGGTTCAGCACTCGACACCCGAAACGCTGAACTACATCTCAGTGTGAAAAACAATGAAAAAAAAAAAAAAACCTACCACTACTTTGCTCGGGTTCCGAGTTGCACAAACTTTCCAAGGCCAAAGAGCCCGTAAATTCTTACACATATACATTATTCCTGCTCCTCGACAAACTCGGCTGTCTTTCGTCCGCGAAACGAAAGCTCAACACAAAAGTACAAAGTACAGCGTAGGCGTCAGATCGCGATATAATACGCGGGAGAGAGAGCGAAGGTGCGAGTTCAGCACAGGCTCGAAGGTTTTGAAGTGGGAGGAGGGGGAGATAGCGCGAAATAATCGTGTCTTTCCGGCCTCCTCCGCTTCGCCCTTATACGAAGAAGAAGAAGAAGATGAAGACGGAGTGCGGAGTCTCGCTGGTTCTTGCAATCTGTCCCAATTAATCGTACTTTCCGGCTTCCCTCCTCCGCGTGTCCAACCTCTTCAGACATCGTCTCTTTTCCTTGGCTGTTTTTTTTTCTTCTTTTTTTTTTTTTATTTAATAAACACAGACGCGAGAAAAGGAAAGCCGGAATCATATACCTTCACCCCATTGTACAGTGCACACATATCAAACACTGCGAGGGTGTCGTCCGTCGTCGCGGTGAACAATAAAAAAAAAAAAAAAAAAGAAAGAAAAAAAAGAAAAAAATGATAATCAGCGTCAGTCACCTTATAGTCATTCGTGTCCAAATCTCCAACTCTTTCGAGACAATTGCGCGCGCTCGTGCAGTGCGCCCGGCTGCTGCGTACTTACGATATAACATTTGTTACTTGCGGCGATCATGATGAAATAAGAACACGAGAGCGATGATGATGATTATGTGCGGCCATGTATCAGTGATCGAAGGAGGCTGATGATGATGTTTTGTGTAGTGTATTGTATTGTAACTCTCTGTCGAAAGAGGGAGTCTGCCACATTGGCAGACGGGCGTAAAAGTCGGGCGGACCCCGTGTGTCCCTTTCGCAATAAACGACATCATTACGAAACAGATAAACAACCAGAGTCTTATGGCTGTCTTTTTTTTTTTTCACTCCGACTATACCATATTATCCTTGTCCTCGTTTTTACAGGTGTAAAGCTTTTAATCTAAAATCCTGTGTTTAACGTGTACTCTTGTAAAATTTGTTAATGCCTCGCAGCAAACAGGATACTGTTTGTTTGCTAAATTGATGTTTTATCGCTCTTCTTCTAATGGCACTCGTCGAGCAAGTAATGCATCCTTTTGCACTTGGAGCAGCGCTTGAGTCAACGAGGGTACACTCAACATAATTGACGAGCGATGCAAAGTGCCTTACGAAAGAAGAAAAAGTACCTAATCAGCGCTAATGAGCCGATGAAGATGGGAAAAACAGATGCACCACCTTTGTGCGCGAAATTACGTAGGATTCATCGCCGAAAGGGTATAAAAATGAAGATTTTAAGCCGAGGGAAAAAACAACAACAACAATGTTTCGGCGATATTCCATAATCGCGTGATTTATATATCGTTCAAAGTCACGGATGACCAAGATAGGGGTAATATCGGAGACGCATCTGACCGAGTCCCGCTGCATAAACGTTACAAGGGTTTGGGGAGATGGAGGGGGGCCCCACGGGCGACTAATCGAATCGCGAACAATAGCCCACAGATGAATGTCAAGTGGATTTTTCTCGGAAGATATACCTTTTACTACCTCCCTCTCGTATGTCCATACACCGCGAGTCCGAGGAGCTACGACTCAGAGGCTACATAATTATAGCTTCTGGGTGGCTGTCGAACACCGTAACTGGTTATTAGTACAACATTACAAATGCGCTCTTCTTCCTCGTACGGTCTCACTTTGGGATTATCATTTCGGGCGCAACGAACGAGATGACAATGTATACACCAACCGAAGCGGGTTCCTTTTGTTTTCTTTCTCCTCCGTTCGCGCAATGACGGATCTTATCTTCCGCTTATTTTTCATCGGTTGCTCTCCCCAAAATCGTATCACCACTCCGTGGCTTTAATCCACCTCGTGCGATCTTTGATCCCCCCCCCCTCCGGGCCCCGCGAGGAGAGGAAGCGTGCTCGGGCACCTTGCGACCAACCAACAGAGAAAGAGAGAGAGAGAAACGCAGAGGGCACAAGAAACGCGAGCCGAAGAAGGAGCAAGAAATCAACCTGCGGGACCACCCGCCGGCGATCGCTGCACCGGGGCCCCGGGCCGATCCCAAGGAGGTCCGCCGCGTCTTCATGAATCAACTCTCTCCTCCTCCTTCTCTTCCTCTACTGCTTCTTCTTTTTTATCCGTCCGCGATCGGTATAATATAAAGGCATGCGAATGCACGAGCCATATAGGGGGGGGGGG